GAAAGGTGCCCTGCAGGTAAGTCTGTGAAGTGGAAGGGGCATGGGGTAAGGAAAGGGCATAGGGAAGAACAAATCAAGGCCCCCATGGTGAGGGAAGGAGTGGGGCAAGGGTGGGAAGCAGGACAGAGCTGCGGGTGGCTCATCCAGGCGGCAGCTCCACATCACTATGTGCACCTATGGAGAAGGCATGGGGGGCATGTGCTCCCCCAAGTTTGTATGTGGGGCAAGGACAGATGTGGGTTGCAGCAGTGATGAGTTGTGCCTCCTGCTGCCAGGCAGGCAGGGGACACACAGCCAACGCATGGAACCCAGGGCAAAGGCAGCAGTGTGGAGGGCCCTGAGCCCACAGTGGGCAGCCCACATCTGCCCTCACCCTGCTTGGTTCTAGTTAGAAGTATCCCCGCACTTAAAAATAGTAGCAGTGGCACTTGAACTAAAGCTCATTTGATGAACTTTAGTTCAGGTGCCCCTGTTGCCATTTTTAAGCACCAGAACGCTGATTCCCTGAATGAGCCACCTGCAGCTCTGTCCCGCTCGCGGCCCCAGGGGCCCATTCCCTGCCCCACTCCCTCCCTCACCATGGGGGTCTTGATCTGTCGTGTGTCCCTCCCCCACTCCCTTTCCCTCCACAGACTTATTTACAGGGCTTTCCATGCTGCCCAGCCAACTGCATTCCTGTAAATCAGTTATTGGATTGGTATTGGCCAATATGCCTGGTGAATAATTGGCTATCGGTATCAGCCAAGAAAATCTTTATTGGTGCACCCCTCCATTGTGATTTAGCTTCTGGAGTGAATAGTCTTCCTCTTCAGAAATACACTACCCAATCTTCAAAATGACTCATTAACACATAACATCACTTTCTGTTAGCTCTAGAAACAAAGTAAGTGTCTTGTATTGCCAAGTTGCCACTGCGGGACTTAGCATATGAATGTTTTATGTTGGGATCTTCCATGAGGGCTACAGTTCCCATGAGTAACATTGTTTGTTGCAACTGGTCCACAATCTCAATTTAAAATAAACAAATACATAAATAAATTCAGTTCTTTCAATGATGGCAGATCTAGATGGTATAAGCAGTTGTTCACACTATCAATCACTGTTGGAGTTTAGGAGCTTTGACCCATTTGTGCTGAATGCTGACAAAGTGGTTTCTCTCCTTTTTACCTATCCACTGAAAAATCTTCTATATGATAGGAATTTCACCTCAAGAAAAGAAGCCAGAAGCAGGAAACACAATAATGGAGCACAAGCTATTACCTTGACATGTGGAGACTGCATTTTTTGATACATTTCCAGTGAGTAATGGTGAAGCCACATTTCAACAAAGATCTGTAAAACAAACATTTTCTTAGGTGGGGAAGAGTGTGAACATCCAGGAATAATCAATCAAATCTGAATGAATGGAAGCCCATGGTATATCACTGTCTAAAGGGGGAAATTATCCTTGTAAAACAGTCTAAGCACACTCAAAAGATGGTTTCAATTATGTAGGCTTGCTTATTTCCAAAGTCACTTTTACTAGATTTATTAATGACAGGATCAAACATTATAGTACAATTTCATATGGTTGTATCATTATATTGCATACTGCAATTTGCAGTTATGATGCCAAACTGTTCTTGCAGTTACAGATACAAGACCCCATTATCTTCAAGCCTGCTGCAGTGGCACAAAAGCAGTTTGGTCCAACATATATACAGTAAATCAAAATCAGCAAGTATAAATGCAAGAAAAATATTACAGCAATATAAACACCACGAAGGGTGAGGAACTATAAAAACAGTTATGTTACTTCGAGAGAAAAGCTGGTTTAGCTCAAACACCAGAGCACTTATCTGGGATTATGGTGACCTAGAGTTCTAGCACACAATTTACCAACTGGCATGCTCAATAAGGACCTATGGCTTCCTCTAAAGGGAGATGTTACTGAGCTCATTTGTGAACTTTTCATAAGTATTGGGTATTTTTCCATTCCTGTCCCTCTGACTCTTCCGTCTGTTTTCTTTTCCCTTTCAAACTATTTTAAGGAATAAAAGCCCAGTGATTACCTTTAATGCCTTGGTGTCTAACAGCCTTGAAAGAAAACTTAGTGTAAGGATAGGTTTCTTTAAGTTTGGTAAAATATTTAATTAGGTGTAAGTATAGAGAGTGAGAGACACTTGTAAGAGGTGCAAATACCAACTTCAGCAGAGGGATCTCCCTGTCTACTTTCTTATTTTTTAAATTACACTAGCACCCAACATGTTATAGGGACAACCACTTCCTGTATGTGTAGGAAATTACTTTTCTAGAAGAATTTGCATGATACACTGGCAAAGATTGGGGGAAAGAGGTGAGGAAGAGTATGCAAAGGCAGGAATCAAATTAAGCTTATTCCCCACCCCCCGAAGCTGCTGGGTGAGCAGAATGAGAGACTGCTTCATCTACATTACAGACCCTATGCTGGTACAGTGATGCACGGCTTCCTAGTGGAGACGTAGAGTATACCAGCCACTTTCTGGAAGAATATCAGCTAAAGCAGCAGAAGTTCTCTTATGTCAGTCTGCAGGCACACCAATGCTGTTATCAGCATAGAATATCAGTGAGGGGGCATGTTTTCCACACTCTTGGCTGATGTAGCCATGATAGTAAAATTTTGTAGTTTAGGCAAAGTCACAGTCAACCAAAGAGTACCTCTGAGGGATGGGCATTATTAAGGTGTGTTGCAGGGAGGAACAGAAGGGAAGACCCCAAAAGGCCAGGGGGGAGCCCTGGGGTCAGGAACCCTCAAAGGAAAGTAAAAGAAAAGAAAATGGAAAATTCTTACCTGCAGCAGGATTCACGGCAAAGCCAGAGCTGGAGGCGGGACCTGCACGGCTCATTAGCCACACCTTTATAGAGTTGCAGCTGGCCAATGACGTCAGCCACAAAAGCTGGCCGGCGGAAATAAAGCGGGCTGCCGGCAAGGAAGAGGGTGGCAGATGGAGACCAGCGGGAGCTCCTGCAGGGGAGGTTCTCCCTGAGCTCATATGGGGAGAAAACGGGCTGGAAGCTGCTTCTCCCAGTGGGGGAAGAACGCAGTAGAACACACCGCGGGACAGACTCTGCTGGTGGCAGCAAAAGGAGCCAGGAGCCAGAGAGACCTTCCCACAACCGGGAATCCAGACTAAAAGGCAGAGGGGAGCAGGAAGATCCCTACGCCAGGGGCCACAGCCGAGGAGCCGGAGAGACCAGCACACATCAAGACGCCAAACCAGGTGGGACCATTGAGGGCTCCGGAAGAACCAAGGAGGTGCACCAGGTGGGAGACGGGTTGTGCAAAGAAAGTGAGGGGCTGTGAAACATGGGTCCCAGTGGTATAGAGCCGACCCGACAGGGGACGTGGGGACAGGCATCTGCCAAAGGACTACAGCAGGTCCAGCAAATCCAAAGGCTGGACGACGAGGAAAAAGGAGTACGGAGTAGGCCGCAGGCTACCACTGACACGTATAGGGCTGAATATGGACCACTAGTACCTGAGGGCGGGTATTGGTGATTAGGCTAGAGGAGCCGGGGGTAAAGGGGCAGCAGGCCTCTCAAGGTGTCTCAGTAATCTTTTTGTTTGTATTTTATGTATCCCACTGTTGGAGGGGTTGAGGGGCAGGGCTTGTGGAGCCTGATTATTGTTTAAGCCTAAAGGTGGTTGATAGCCTCATGGAAAAATAGATGGCTGCGAGGCGAGGGCAGGACATTGCTGGTTGGGCACCTGTAGGCAGGAAGGACCTTCCCGGTGAGCGCACTTGGGGACCCAACAGTCAGGGATTTGGCCAGGAGGACACCTGTGACCCGTCAAGGCAGGGTGTAAGGGAGAGGTAGAGGGGAGGTAAAGCCTCGCAGAAAACCACTAGATAGACGTCCCGTCGTCGAGAGACTCCCAGTGGTTGGACCCCCCCCCAGTGAAATAAGATTCAAAGTCGTGGCAGGCGAGAAAGGGGAAGACTACACTGGAGGGAAACACCCACTTGACAGAACATCTGGGACGGACAGGCGAACACCACCGAACATCCAGGCCAGAGTGACACGTGACCGGATGTTTGAAGCCAGACAGGCACAAGGTGGCTAAGACAGTAACACTAATGCAACACTGACAAGTTTCCTTTTTCGGAGGGGAGACATCTTTAGCTTTTGACTTCTAGGAAGTGTGTTTTTAATTATTCCCTGGTGTGGTTTTAGTTGGAAAAGACAACAATGTTTCAGCTTTAATTTTACATATGGCTTAACACAATGTTATTAATGCTTTGTATAGAAGACATCAGAATTATATGAATCTCTCAAAATATTAATAAGTTAAATGCTCCTGGTGCCTGCGAGGTGGGTATTATTTCCCACAGTAGGGCAAAGAACATTTCCTGCAACTATGCAATGAACTGTCTGGAGGAGCTGGACATAAAACTTATATGCCCTCAGTTTCCATTCCTGCATTTTATGGGAAATGATTATCTTGTAGCCACACACATTCTGGTAGCTTACTGTGCAGTCTGTTGCAGTGTTATGTACTAGAAGACGGTCAGCATTTCAGTTTAGCAACATGGTAATAAAAGCATTTTTAAAATCAACTTCATATTTCCAATTCTCTCCTTTACAGCAACTTGAATCAGAGTAACTCCACTAATGTTAACTAGGTTACAGCAACTGTAAACTAGTCTATATTGTGAGCTGACTCAGACCTCTCTCCCCACAAAAAGACACAGAACCATAGAAAAAATAAAGTTGAAAGGGACCTCAGGAGTTCATCTAGTCCAACCCCCTGCTCAAATCAGGACCATCCCCAACCAGATCATCCCAGCCAAGGCTTTGTCTCACAGGTCTTAAAAACCTCCAAAGATGGAGATTCCATCACCTCTCTGGATAACTTGTTCCAGTGCTTTATTACCCTCCTAATGAGAAAATTAGGATCCCAGCAAGATAAGCATCCAATTTGCTCCTGAAGGTGTTCAATGTAGGTGCCTGAACCACCTCCGATGGCAGGCTATTCCAGACCTTGGGGGCTTGGGCAGTAAAGAAATTCTTCCTTATGTCCAGCCTGAAAAGGTCTTGCAGCAGTTTATAATGATTCAATGTCATCATCCCCTGGGGCGCTCTGGTGAACAAACGTTCCCCCAGGTACTGGTGGTCACCCCTGATAAACTTACAGGTTGCCATCAGATCTTCCCTGAGCCTGCGCTTTTCCAGGCTAAAGAGGCTGAGAGCCATGGGGCTGTCCTCGTAAGGTCTGTTTTCCTGACATCTGATCATGCACGTGGCTCTTCTCGGGACTCTCTCAAGCTACTCCACATCCTTTTTGAATTGTGGAGCCCAAAACTGGACGCAGTACTCCAGCTGCGGTCTCACCAAGGCCGAGTACAAG